CCGGCAGCTGCTGGCTGGTATAGGACGGAGGCAGCCTTGGGAAGGCTCCCCCGTGAGTGAAAACCGAGTGATCTTTCTAATGTCCGATGCCTCCTGTGGAGTGTGAAGTGCTTTTCCTGCAAATCTCTTCTGAAACTGATGGAGCAGCATGGGGTTTCTGAAGCGGTTGGTTCAGGTTGATTCAGAGGAGGGCGGAGTGGACCGCTGGCTGTTGCCGGCCATTCACCCCAGACCTCCCAGCCTCTGCAGCCAGCGCCCCGCCTGCGCCTGGTCCCTTCTTCTCATAGGTCATGGATGGCGCAGGCTGTGCCTCTGTCATTCACACACACACACACACACACACACACATATGGATTGGCTGTGTGTAAATTAGGTATGTGTTAAATAGATAACTTATTAGGTACATGTGACACAGTAAATGTATACATGTAAAATACACATGAGGAACATCACTCTTAACGATGAAAACTCGGGAAACGTCAGTAGATTTAAGTGGCAACAGCTGGAGGACCTTCCGACTGGAACAAATCTGGGCTCTTTCTTTTCTGCTGTCAGAGAGCAGCTCGAGCAAATCCTGAATGCTGTCTGTGGGTTTAGCAAGTGGGTCGACTCCGTCATCCCCAAGACACACGTGTCTGCCAGCGCCCGCCATCCCTCCCCAGCGCCCCCACTGCCCGCGCGTCCTCCTGTGCCCACCCAGCCCCGGTGTTTCCAGCCGTGTGGAGCCTCCGGCTTCATGGGCTCAGGAGACCGTGGCCGTTGGAGGCATGGGAGACGTCCCCCCCCTCAGAGGACTGCAGGCACGGTACCCTGGGCTCCCACCCACACCCCTTCCAGACTGCAAGGTGTGAGACTCCCTGCTGAGGGCTGTGTCCAGAGTGCAAGTCCTGAGCTCCCGGCAGTACCTGTGCCTGAGGCTTGATGGGGAGGCCGGGCGGGGGCACCTTCAGGGGCTAGCGAGGGCTGGCTGCAGGCCCCACCGTGAGCGATGATGCCAGTAGTGACAGGGTGTCCCAGGTCGGCTCCACAGGGGGCAGCTGGGGACCACATCAGAGGGCCTGGTGCCCCCAGGTGAATGGCACTGACTCCACAGGGAGGCGTCCAGCCATCATGCCCTGGAGAAAGCCCTTCGCACATGCCTGGTCTCTTCCACTGAAGCCTGAAGCGTCTTCACCTTGTGCCCCGTGCCCGCAGGTGCCCAGGGCATGCGTGGCGTGGGCCTGTTGTGACGGGCAATGCTGGTGGTCGTGGCCTCTCCCTCTGGCATCGCACCCTTCAGTTCTTGAGGTTTCTCTTAAATATTCGTTGATTATTTTTTCTCTTCCATTTTCTCTATTCTTTTTGAAATTATTATTTGGATGTTGAACTTCCCAGATTAGTTATCTGTTTTAAAAACATTTTTTATCCTGTTTTCCATCTTTTTGTTCTACTTTCTGTAAAATTTTCTCAAATTTATCAACCTTATTTTATTTTTGCTATTATATTTTAGTTTCCTGAGATTTGGGGGGTTTTGTTCTTATTTGAATATTCTTTTCTATGTAAAACATATTGCTGGTGTTTTATGAACAGTCCGTTCACTGTCTCTCTGATGTAATATTGGCACTTTCTGAGGTTTTCTTCGCTCCACAACGTGTTTGCTCTGTGTTGCTGTTTTGTCAGCTTGGTGGCTTAGCCCACAGTCGTCCTTCCATGGGGACGCCCTCCTCCATGTGAGGTGATCTTTTCTTGTGACCTGGTCACATCTTTGGGGAGACTCCTGTCTGGAGGGTGTGGGTACTGCCAGCTTCTGGGAGCTTAGGGGCCGGGACGGGGACGTTCATCACCGTGGGAACATCCTGTCCTCTGTTCACCAGGGAACTTCTCCGTTGGTTTGGATCGCTCAGCCCTGAGACCAGCTGTTTTCCCTCCCAAGAAAGTAAACCTCTGGTATTCCTCAGAGATGGAGAGACAGCGTACAGTGCAGAGC